CAATAAATCTGGTGTTAACCAATGTTATGAATGTGTTTTTATTTATATATTTCCTGTCCCATCTAAAGTGGGAAGGGAGGTAAATTGAAGCGTGATTACTTCCCTTAAGCGTAAAACTTATCTTTTAATAATTTATACAAATATAATATTTATCAGATTAAAACAAAATCAATTCCCGAACAAAATGAACCGTTTAATTAATCAGTTCCTTTACTCCTACATAAATTAGATTGAAGTCTTATCTGTTCAAGCCTTTCATGTGAGCTGCTCAGATACCTTTGTCTCTTAATTGATCGATTTGCTTCAACTTGGTCTTGAAATAGGCTTTATCATCGCCGGATTTGTCGTTCTCTTGCTATTCTTTTTCTCCTGATAGATATTTTGTTTTGACATAACATTGTTAAAGCGAAAAGATATTGAGCAAAAAACAATTTATTTTAATACCAGCAGCAATCAGTGAGTCCTGGATACCATTGAACGTCGGGAAAATATAAAGGAAACGCATTAATTAATCGGTTCATTGGCCTCTGTTGCTGTGGTTGTGGTTGTTGAATTTCTATACATTGTTTCAAGGCTTTTGTTTCATTTTTGTTTCAAGGCTTTTGTTTCATTTTTAGTTTCAAGGCTTTTGTTTCATTTTTGTTTCAAGGCTTTTGTTTCATTTTTGTTTCAAGGCTTTTGTTTCATTTTTGTTTCAAGGCTTTTGTTTCATTTTTGTTTCAAGGCTTTTGTTTCATTTTTGCTTCAAGGCTTTTGTTTCATTTTTGCTTCAAGGCTTTCAGCTCTCAACTTGGTATCCTGAGCAAAAGGAATCTTTTAATTAATCAGTTCCTTTTTTTCTTCTGACGTTTTGTAGATTATAGTATTATTTGTTCAAGCCTTTCATGTGAGGCACTAAGTTACATTTCTCTGTTAAATAATCATCTAGCTTCAACTCGGTATTGATTTAAGCTTTTCCATCGACGTCTTTTTCGTTCCGTTGACAATCTTTTTTCCCGAGAGATATTTCCATTTCACTGTTATATTTAAAACATGAATTTTTCAAAATGAAGAAGAATTGAGCAAAAAACGATTTATATAATACTATGAGTATTCAATGAATCATAGATTCCATTGTATATGTAAAAAATATAAAGGGAACAGATTAATTTTTCATTGGCCTCTTTTTTGGTTATGAATTCTTTAATAAATTGTTTCAAGTCTTTGCATGTCACTATTAAAAAAGTTGTGTATCAGTTGGCGCAATTTAAGATAGTACAGCTACAATATAATAATAATAATAATAATAATAATAATAATAATAATAATATCCTTGCTGCACAGGATAAATGTTTGTTATCAAGAAATTATCTTGCACCTAAAAAATTCTGTTAGCCGAAAATGCAGATTCTGTGATAAATACCGAGAAACAATTAACCATCTTGTATCAGGTTACACGGTATTGGCACCCAGTGAATAAAAAACACAGCATGACAGAATGGGCCAATATCTGCACTGGAAAATCTGCAACTTCTGCGGAAAGGAAACTGAAAGAAATTGGTATAAACACCACCCAAACCCGGTGACGGAGTTAGGACTTGACTTGTAAGAATTTTACGGGACTACACAATACACACAGAAAGAACAATAAAAACTAATCGCTCTGACATCCTCATTACAGACCGCAAACAAAGTAATTGCCCTCTTAATGATTTGGCAGTCCCTGCAGAGTGCTATGTATCTTTGAAGATCTTCAAAAAGCTGTCAAAACACAATGACCTTGAAATTGAAATCTCAAAAATGTGTCATATGGGAACATCAAATCCCTGTTGTAGTTGGAGCCCTAGGATTGGTTGGAAAAGATTCCAGTAGACTGATTGAAGAGATTCCTGGAAGTCCATGCGTTAAAGAAATACAAAAAATTGTTCTCACGAGCACAGCCGACACTTTACAAAGGTCTTTATGCAAGCAAATATATGGATTTCGATCCGACAGTATGAAGAAAAATATATGGAAAAACAAAAATCTGAATATGCAAATATGCTGTTTTAATGTTGTTTCAATGTCGACGTCAGACGTTTCGGTCAAGTAGACCTTAATAAGTATGTCCTGAAGAAAGTCTACTAGATTGAAACGTCTGACGTCGACATTGAAACAACATTAAAATAGCATATTTGCATATTAGGATTTTTGTTTTTCTTTATATTTTTCTTCGAAGGTCTTTATCTATGTAAAATAATTTTTTTTAATTGCTCAGTGGAAAATATCACGTTGTCATTTCTGTCCTTAGGTCTCTGGTCGGGACCCGGAAAGAAATGAGTACACACCAGAAAGCACAGGAAATAAAACAATAATAATAATAATAACTATACTTAAAGAACATTCCTGGTTCTTTAAGATTGTTGGCAGTTTATAGCGATCCCTGGAATCCTAGGTAATAATAAAGGGGTAATTCTAGGAGAGAACAACTTTGAAATCTGTATTCTTTGTTCTACACTTTTCACCTCGTCTCTCTTTATTTCCCAAACGCTTGTGATTTTCTTGTTGCTAATTTTCGATCACTGCAGATTTACAAGCTTCCAAACGTTGTAGTGCATTAATTAATTGAAGGAAAAAAAAAAACAACAATAATATTTTAAATCCGCTCTTTCTTTTTTGCCTTTTCTCTAGCCCGGCGCCAGGTTCAGACGTCCACAGACACTAAGAATTCAATTTCTCATTTCGTTCACTTTCCATCCTCTTATTAAACCGACAAACCTTTCTTTTTTTTTTTCTCTCAACGGTTACGTTTTATGGAAGCATCCGTCTCCACTGAAAAAAAAAAAAAAAAAAAAAAAAACGAAACAAGAAAAAAACGTATATTAATTTTTTGAAAATAAATCTCACATTGCAAAATAATTACAATTAATATGTTGATTTATTAGTAATAAAAACATATTTTATTTAAAATTCTATTTCTATTTAACATTTTAACGCTATTAAAAGAGTGGAATCTGAAAAAAAATAATTAACTTTTTTCACGCATATCTTTCTCCTTGCTCCCTTCCTACACTTTGGTGCTTATGGTGAAGGGAAATGAGAACGAGATGTCGGGCAGCTAAATACGAATTTCAGCTGAGTCTCATTATGTCTTCTTACAGTTAATAGTCCTTTCTTCTCGCTTTCCTTTACTACTCTGTTCGTCCTGGGTAAGACGATAAACTACATCCAACAGCGAGGCCTCTGTTGAGGAGTGTGGAATCATCTTTTAATTGATGGTTTTCTCAGGTCCACCCGACCCAGGGTGGTAGCACCTGTTAGGGTCCCAACTATGGGCAAATAGTTAACTCCCAAACTGGAGCCAGAACACTATGAAAGTGTAAAAATTGGTTTTAATATCAGCAATAATATTTTGAGGATAAAATTATTACCAGCAATACATTTTTGAAGAAAACTATTATCAGAAATACATTTTTGTAAATAATTATTACCAGAAGTACATTATTACCGGGAATACTTTTTCGAAAAAATATTACCAGCAACAAAAATCTTATAAAAATCGTGTCGGCATTGAATAACACTGAGGTTGATATATCATAAACCAAACTAAACCAAACCAAACCAAACCAAACCAAACCATACTACTCTGTCTAAGAAAATTATACCTTTCTTATGCTTTCTTACAGTTAATACTCCTTTTATTCTCGCTTTCCTTTACTACTGTGTCTATGACATTTTTTCTCATTGGGTCTTCATTTAGGTAATAGTCCTTTCATATCGCCTTCTTTTATTACTCTGTATAAGAGATTCAATTTTTTTAAAATTATGATTATATGTCAATGGAAAATCCGAAAACAAATTAGTATTGAACATTTGACTTATTTACATTTCATTTTCCTGACACATTCTTTTATATTATAAAAAAAATAAGTGTAAATTTCTTTGTGTTTTAACGTGCCAACAGATACCCTGATTCTAGCCAGAAGACAAAACCCAGGTTACCTTAACAGCTTTCTATCACATGTAGCTAGAACCCCGGAATACTACATGTATAAAAATTAACAACTTTTACGGCCGTGGAAAAATCAGGGCTGGCTGACCACATATGGAGAGAAAAGGGAGATCACCGCCTTCTGTGCAATCAGGTTGAGATCATAGACAAGGAACACATTGGAAAATTAGTAAACTTAAGGAATCAGCGCATATGCCAGGCCACAAAAATCTCCTGAGCCGACCAAGCATAGAAATGGATACAATATGGGAACCAGTAATAAGGAGTGCCAGAGAAAAGCTATAGCAACAGCAAAAATTGCGATATGAGCTCTGGGAAAAATATGAAAAAAATGGAAATATGAGCGCTGGTAAAAAATATTATTTCTGAAGACATTAGGTTTATAATACCAAGAAATCCATACACAGTGCCATTATACACTGTGCCATATGTCCTCAGTGGATAAAGGTGTTAGTTAGATCCAGTGACAAGACCCAAAGAGTGTGAGTTCAATACCTGGTTAAGGCAGTGGAGAAATTAAGAGGGAATTAAGCAGGAGATAACTGATAACTGACATCCATTAAACATGGCACGTGGAACTAGAACAGTCTAACCCAGTGAGCGAAATAAAGGGTTCAATTCGATATTCCAACCTCCCGAAGAAGGCCCGATCGTACAACGGCCGAAACGTTGTAATAAATATGGCGACAAAGATGAGTACAATAGTCCTAATAATGTAAATAGGGTACAAAAAGAAAACAGTTGAAAAAATCATTTTTCTCTAAATACAGAAAATGGCAAATAAAATAGAAATGAAAACATTGACATTAACAGAAAAAATATTTTTTTTTGCTGTCAATTTGAATTTCATACCATTTTTTTTGTAACTTCCTTAACAGGAAAAATTCTTTGTAAAAAGAAAATTCTACTTTTTCATTCTTTATTTGATAATTTCTTTTTAATATTTATTTTTCTTGTAATGTTTCATTGAAAATTGTTATTAGTGCATTTTTCTTTTTGCTTTATGTTTCCCTGTTTCGTCTCTTTTCAGTTTCTTTTCTTCCTTCTTTCTCGGTAACTATACCCTTTTTCTTTTCCGTTTATATTTATTTTCGTATTTTGTAACTATACCGTCTTTCTTTTCCGTGTATATTTATTTTCGTATTTTGTATCTATACCGTCTTTGTTTTCCGTTAATATTTATTTTCGTATTTTGATTTGTTTTAATTCTTTTGCAATTCTTTTCTCGTCGTCTCTCCTTTTGCTTTCCTTTTTCACCTTTCCACTATTTTGTATCCTTATTCAAACTTGCTTCTGGAATGGGAGTAATTCTCATTTCTAACTGCTATTGTAAAGTTCATTAAAAAGTAGGATTTTTCAGCAAATCTTTCCGCTTCTTTATGCTGATTAATTCTCACAGTCAACATCAACACACACTCATCATCCAAACGTGTCATCTGCGTTATCATATTCCCATTTTTTGTTCTCATTTTTTATTGTCATACCCATCGCAGTATGAACGCGGTCATTATGTTAAAAATCATCGTTGCAAACCCAAGAGACAGGAATTAATTTGCCATGCGTTCTCTTCTCTAAGCATGAAGACGATGACATTTTTCTTTTACAACGTAGAAGAGAGAAAGAAAATGATAATAATTATTATTAGTAGTAGTATTAACAGTAATAGTAGTAGTTTCTCAATTAATATTTCTGGTAATTAACGCGTGGATAACGGATCATATCCAGCAGGTATTCAGTTTTCCTCTAGTTCTAAGTTATTCTTCCCTTTCTGAAAGGTTTTCTTTCTACAACAGTTCCATAGGGAAATCCATGTCAGTTTTTCTCTATCTAAGTCTCTATTCTGTCAGTCAACTTAACATGTGCACCACCAGCAGATGGTACGATTGCGGACATCTTTAACTTCCAAAGCCTTGCGAGTTGAAATCTCAATTGCTTATAAATGTTTACTTGATCTTCTTCCTTTTGCACTAGTTGAAATCAATTGATCCTCAAATATTTTATCAATATCAATGGTTTGTTGTGCTTCAGTTTATTATCCGTTTGTTATAAAATACCCAAAGAAATCTTGCAAGTTACTGACTTTCTCAATTTTATACAGGGTGTCCATAAAGTTAGTGTGCTCTTTAAAAAAATTATAACTTTATTTGTATTTGCGATAAAAATAATTTGTAAATAGGATTAGAAAGATGAAAATCTATGTTTTGTAAGGTTGTATTGAAATTTTATTTAAGTTTCCACATGTCCTCCATCATTAGCAATACAAAGGGAAATACGATTTTGCAGTTCACGGAAAACATTTGCCAACTGATTTACAGTAATGCCTGAAATCACATTAGTTATTTTAGCTATACTTAAAACTAGGTACATTAAACTTTATAACATTTTTTACAGATTATTTCTATCGCAAATACGAATAAAGTTATAAATTTTTTAAAGTGCATACGAACTTTATGGACATCCAGTATTTGTACCACTCATGCTCTTGTTGAAAACGCCACTTCTATGACAATGTCCAAAGATTTTGATGATGTCTCTACTATTTTTTTTTTTTTACTAATTCTGAGCAAAACTTGGACACTCTTTCACAATATGTATAATACTTTCATTCAAAATTGCCCATATTCTACAAACCGGTAATGTCTCTACTTTGGGAACATGTTTCCTGAAAGTATTTGGACTAATATCCTGATCTTGAATTGTTATAATACTTTCATAAAAAAAAGAAATTTGAAAAAAATTCCATGTTAATTTGTCAATAGTTCATTTTCTAATTTTTAAAGTTATTTTTATAACCATTTCACCCAAGCAAAGCAATAAAGCCACAAAGAAGCAAGATTACTGGGAGTTAAAACACTGAGAGGAATATAAACGAACGGATTTCAAAGATATAGTTAACACTGCATTTAAAATTTTGATGGTCGTAGTTGACACGATGAGAAAGTAAGGCAGTGAATTTTAGACAATATATTCACAGATGAATATATTGTCTAACATTCACTGCCATACTTTCTACTACTACTACTACTACTACTACTACGTCGTCTTCGTTGTCGTCATCTGCTTCTCGTATTTTATTATTTATTCTCATCACGTATAATTATTCCTCATCTTTATCATCTCCTTCATCATCATCTTCGTCATCTTCTTTTTGTCTTTTATTATTTATTCTTTTTTAATCTTTGTCTAACTCTTCTTCTTCTTCATCTCCGACTTCTTCCTCCTCTTCTTTGTCTTTTATTATTTATTCTTTTTTAATCTTCTAATTCTTAAGTCTTGAGTTAATCTCGCTTCTTCTTCTTTTTATTCTTCTTCTTTTTCTTCTTCTTCTTTTTCTTCTTCTTCTTTGTCTTTTATTATTTATTGTTACTTTATTTAGATTTTGTAATCATCTTGTTCTTTCTTCTTTTTCTTCTTCATCATTTTCTTCTTTATTGTCTTCTTCTTCGCCGTTGTCTTCTTTGACTTTTATCATTTATTCTCTTTTAACCTTATTCATCATCATCTTCATCTTCTTCGCTGTCTTTTTCTCTGTCTTTTATTATTTATTCTTTTTTAATCTTCTTCCAATGCTTAAGTCTTGATTTCCTCTCGCTTCTTCTTCTTCTTCTTCTTCTTCTTCTTCTTCTTCTTCTTTTATTATTTATTCTCACTTTGTGTTTGTCTTTGTTTCATGTTTATCTTCATTCACTCAGTCACCTTCATTCGTCGGCACAGTTTTAAATAAATACAATTACTATTTTTTGTATTTATTCTTTTATTATCAATTTATTATTTCAGTTCACCTCTCATTCATCATCACAAAAAATACCGGCTCATCATTCATTTTTTTCTTAAACAAGTTAATTAAAAAAAATGTAATATTCGCATTAGCTCTTATACACACGACTCTACAGCCCATACTTGTTGGGTCTCCTCCACTTCTGCGGCACAATATAAATATTACGCCATAAAGAGCACTTTAACTATCATTCAATGTGCAGAATCTACGAATTCTTTAAGTCATACAGTCTGCACGTATTTGTAATTCCTCCAGAACCCAAGCGCCATTTTGTAAAATGGCGTAGCTTAAAGATGTCAAAAACTGTGCCTGTCAACTGGATTGTTCAAGAGCAAACGCGCTGGAAGGCAAAATGCTGTTTATTTTGTGTACATTGTAACTCAACGAGTTAATAACGACACCAATCGTGTGGGCGAGGAAATTTAGCAGCACGAGAAGTAATATTATTTTTTGCGCTTTATGAATGGGGAATGGTTAAATAATTTTCTTTCTTATGTGGCAGCAATGGAGAAATAAGAGAAAAGATTTATTTTTTCAAAATTATAAATAAAAGAATTATTAAATAAAAAAAAAATTCCAGAAAAATTAAATATATATATAAAAAAAAAATCAAAAGAATAAAAAGAAAATTCTTTTCCAATCAAAAAGAATTTGTTTCACTGGAAGGTTTCATTGTAAATAATTTACTGGGAGGAAAAAATAGCAGTATTTAATATTTCTCAGTACCCTCGTTTTTGAAAAACAAAATATTTAATAAACAGAAGACATTTTTTTAATTAAAAAAAAAAAGCAAAAAAAGCAAACTCAAAACATTTTTACCCATTACTTACAATATTTATATTCGAACTATTGTCTTCATCTTTGTTGTTTTTATCACAACGTTACGGCTGTTGTGCCTTCTGGCTTTCCTCAGATGTCTAAGTTTACTCCAGTACTACGGGGCAATAGCCTAGTGAGTGAAACTGTTGGTTTGTGAATTTGGTGACATAATGGTTGTGAGTTCAATCCATGGGTCGGGCAGTGTAAGCAGTAACTGAAGAGTACTGAATAAAAATAAGAAGTAGACGATATCCGTAGACGTGAGCAGTGTAACGAGAATATTCTAATCCCGTAGAATAAAAACCGGGGTCAGTTTGGAATTACCTGTAGGTTACTCAGATCAGTATACACCTGAGGAAGGCTGGAGGGTACAGCGGCAGAAACGTTACAATAGAAACAACAAGGATGAGGAATACAGTAAATAATGATAACTTCTCATCCCAGAAATTTAGACACGAATTATCATAAGCAGCAACAATGGTTTTGAGTTCGCAGTCTGGGAAATAAAGCCTTTTCGAAATCCTTCCTTGACTACCTTGGCTATAATATTCTCTGACAAATAGCTATATTTCTTACTGCATATGTTATCTTTTATTTCTACTACATGGCTTAAGTTAAGCAACGTCGAACCTGGTCAGTACCAAGATGGGTGACCGCTTGGCAATACCAAGCGTAGTAAGCTTTGGTGTGCGAGTGGTATAATGGGTAGCGGCTTGAAATTGGAGAGTCGAGTTCCAATTCGGGTTCATTATATTCACTTAGGCGCAAATATGCTTGTTGAAATTAGGAATCAACTTCTTCTCCACTCAGATATGAATTAATTAGCAGAATTTGTATTATTATTTTTTCCCCAAAATTCTATAATCTACACATATTTCCTGGCTTTAAATAATCTGCAAAAATGTTGATAAACCATAAAAAAATCAATAAAATTTCTTACTGTGCATAACTCCCATCTCATTTTTTAGAATTATCTTCCTTTTGTCACGAGTGATCTCCCCTTACAGGAAGTCGATATGGAGAAGACTCTTAAAACGCTGGCATATTGTTACAGCCATGTGCATGGAACATTCAAAGCTTGACTTTCGAAGACTGACTGGAAGTTTATACTTAATTCCCTAAAAACCGTTTTGATTTTTACTGATAGTGATTATCTCTTCTCATATACGAGGTCTGATCAAAGAATATCGTGATTTATGCAATGGTACCGGAGCTAAAGTAAGCAAAGTGAAGCCGCTTGACACATATTGAACTCTCTCTTGCATAGGCAATAATTTACAACGTTGCCGTTCACTTAAAATGCATTCTTACTTACCATTCTTACTTCATCCACCATAATGCCTCAGAAACTCCATGGAGTCGTAACTTGTCCCCATATGTACAAATCATTGTCTGTGTTGGGAGAGGGGAATAAAACAATAATTTCAAAACTAGCCCCAATGTATATTTCCAATAAGAAAAAAAAAACTATTTACAAGGAACTAAACATAATAATGTTAGTAATACCCCCTCCCATAAGCCCTAAATATAGCCGAGACATCAGTTAACTGGACGAAATCAATGCGGGACTTTAATAATATCAAACATTCATTCACCCCAAGCTCAAAAAACACACTCATTCAGACACAACAACAAACACCAAAATCACACTCGAAACGCTTCTTTTTTGGAGGTACCTTTGGCTATCCCAATGTACGTTTGGATTTTAGTGTCGCATTTCCCGTCTTCTGTCACAACACTTCCCAGCTATCTAATTTTTGCGCTTCGTTGATATTGATATCTGTGCTTTATAATTTGACTATTGGGTCCGTCCATTTGTCAACAAGTATGCATTCTGTCTTTTATAGTCAACTGCGTATTGGTTAAAAATCTCACATCTCATGGCCTTGTTTCAGACGCACAATATGGCTCTCGTTTCTCGAGGTCAACAGACAATTTATTGAAGGTTATTGCTGAAAGCATCTCTAAAGCTTTGGATAAGAATGGTGGTGCTTTAGAAATGGTGGTTTCCTAATATGTTGAAAGGTTATCGTGTTTCTGTCTGTTATAGAGTTTCTTTGATTTGATTGAATTTTTCTCCCCAAAGATAAAAGAATGCTATTCCGGGGCATTATCAACGGCTTTGAATTTGGAGTAGTCCTTCTCCAAAACTGTCTGCCACCCGAAGCATTAGATCCCAGACTATACACACACACACACACACACACACACACACACACACACACACACACACACACATATATATATATATATATATATATAATTTTATATGCGCACTACTTATTTGAAAGCGCTCATTATTAGGGATAGAGCTAACATATTCAGTTGTATGGATATGACTTTGTCTGATGTTCGCAAAAGTGTGAAAGCCAGGGTCACAAACCCATATCCATAAAATTGATTATATATATATATATATATATATATATATTTGCTCTTATATTAGCTTTTATCTTATATAAACGATATTAGCTCTCGATAAGAGCACTGTCAGGAGCGAATTTGTAAACAGCCACTATTACTGCTGATAATGCAAGACACTCCTATCCGATTGAGTTCTCTAAGTGACTGGCGTGTTTATGAAAAATAAATACGCAAAAATTTGTCTTCCTCTCTGCCGCCCGTCGCTGGCCTAGGTGCTAGAATCTCCGACTGGTCGGGGGTTTCGGTCCCGATCTGAAGCGAACGGACGTCTAGCCACACTGATGAGCTGTGTTACAGCGAAACGGTCTGTCTGTGGATGATGGTATATATATATATATATATATATATATATATATATATATATATATATATATATATTCAAATTAATAAATAATTCAGATTAATTAATATTGTAAAAGTCATTCAAAGAATAAATCAATAAAGTTAATGTAATTAATGGCGAATTTCACATTTTTAAGCAAAATTACCTGAAAAAGAAAAGAATAACATTTATGTCTGAAAATGATGAATGTTTTTACCGAAAGTACTTACCAACTATATGGGCCGAACATCTAATCCATTGTACAATTAATAAAAACAAGAAACGCGTCGTTCAGCGATGAATCAGTAAATTAATGTCTTCTCAATCTGTTAACGAAGTGATTTCACCATTAATTTCATTAATTTTATTGATTTATTTTTTGAATGACTTTTTACAATAATAATTAAGATTTTTCGAATATTCAGGCTGGTAGATGAAAATGAAATACATATAGTGTTTAATAAATAGAGAATCTACTCAGATATGGGTATCCACTAAAAGTAACCTTTACATAATAATAATAATAATAATAATAATAATAATAATAATAATAATAATAATATCTCAAAAATGTGGCATATGGGAGCATCAACAATTCCTGTTGTAGTTGGAGCCCTAGGACTGGTTGGAAAAATTGCAGTAAACTAATTGAAGGGATTCCTGGAAGTCCATGCCTCAAGGAGATACAAAAAATTGTTCTGACAAGTACAGCCCACACTTTACGAAGGGCTTTATCTATGTAATATATTTTTTTTTGTCAGTGGAAAGTGTCATGATGCCATTTCTAAACTTAAGTCCCTGGGTGGGACGCGGAGAGAAATGTGTAAACGCCAGAAATCAAAGAAAATAATGATAATATTAATAATAATAATTAATATATATGTGTATGTGCGTATGTATGTGTAAAGTTCAAAAGTATATGTATAAAAGTGAACGTGCTAGCCTAGTCTAGAATGTAAACTTCAAACTTTCCATGCCGATAACTATTATTGATATTCCTAGAACTCTCACCTACATATTTTTGTGAGGATTATTACAATCTTTAGGATAAATTCCTGCTTCATGTTTGTTTAAAATATTTCGTAAACAATAATAAAAACTTCATACAAAAGAATATATTAAGAATTTAAAATCTAAATGCGGAATTTACACTACAGATTGCAATGATGAGCAAATGAGACTTTTAGGAATTTAAATATGAACACAAAAGCATTCTTTTAAAAAACACCAGATTCATT